CAAACATATAAAATTTAGAATCAAACATAACATTTAAAATACTATAGGAGTATTTTGTTAATGCAATAGTTTAACCTACATGTTCATATTTACATGTTTTAAATTTTTAGACAATTCTCATATCCTTATTCTCGCGCAGACACAATGGCCGGATTTCACTTACCAAGGGACCCCTACTACCCGAACCAAAGCGATGGAGGATGGATAGAGAATGATCCGGGAAAGGATCCAGAAGAAATTGTGGACGAAGAAGGAGAAGAAGAAGAGGAACCAATCGAGGAAGAAGAAGAATTCAAGGAAGAAATGCAAGAGGACTCCGACTCAGATCCCGAAAACAATTAATAATTGGGTTCCAAGCCCAAAGTCCAAATCACACACCAAAGGCCCAAAAGTCAAGTAATGGGCCAAAGCCCAATATATGGCCCAATTTTCCAAATTGGGCCCAGACCTCTACATGGTCTTTCCTTAAGGCCCATCCAAATATTTATGTCCAAACTCTTGGTATTCCCATGGCCCAATATCACATAATCATCCAGGCCCAGTCATGGCCCACCTATGGCCCAGTTTTCCAAATTGGGCCCAAGTCCTTCACATGGGCCTTATCCTAAAGCCCATCTAATTATTTTGGTCCATTTACTTGTTCTTGGATAGCCCATCAATAGTCCAATCACCAAAGCCCAATAGGAAGGCCCAAGTGAAATTAGGGTTTTCACATGAAATGACGATTAGGGTTGAATGTTCCTACTTAACCCATTAAGGACTTAATCCATTAAGTCCAATATTGTCTTAGATTAATTTGCCAATGATTATTAATTAACATTTTCAGTTTAGTAGTTAATTCAAGTGCGGGTCCCGATAATTTCCCAAAATTAGGGTTTTATGCCATTAGGGTTTTCCAAACCCTAATTAGGGTTTCCAACCCAAATACTAGCCCATTAATCAAATGGTTTGGCTTTTAGGTCAATTAGGGCTTCATTGGGCGCATTAGGGTTTCATTGGGCCCATTAGGGTTTCATTGGGCCCACTTTGTCCAAGCATCCTGAAACGAGTCAAAACGCAAACGAGGCACACCGCCGCCCAACACGGCGGTTGGTGGCGGCAGGAGGCGGCAACCACAACCTCACGGTGGTGGTTATGGAATTTTCTATTATTATTCTTATACCGATTACAATTTACAGCCCAATCCGAATAACACACGCACACACTAAGCTAATAAAAACACACACACATACACAGTCGCACTGTGGCGGCAGGTGGTGGTCGGAGGTGCTAGCCACCACCTCACGGTGGTGGTGGTGGTGGTCCTCTCGATTCCGGCGAAAAAAATCACACACCTACACTCTAATGCTCGCAATGAGTCAAGCCACCCACCTAGTGGCGTGTGGCAGCGGTGTAGAGGGTGACAACAGCAACAACAGCAGTGGCTAACGGCAGCGTCGTCGGCGGCAGCCACCATGGGCGGCTGCCATGGTGGTTCTTCACGGCTCCCAATCGACAAAAACCACACACACCCGAAATCTCACCGCAAACCACGAACCATAGTCACTAACACGAGATGAACATCGAGGACACACCCATCCTTGCGACACACGGCTGAAACACACACACGACAACCACCCTTGGGGGTGGCGGATGTTGACCATAGTTCGGAATAAGAGTCCTGTGAGCGGCGGCAGGCGGAGCTGGAACGTTGCATCGGAGAAACGACGACGACAATTGCGATTTGCAAACGACTGCAACGACGACGACGACTTCAGTCGCTCAATACACACACGTCGGTGTTCACAGCTCCAAAAATGATCTTCGACGGTCTCTATCTCGGCCGATTACATCGTTTGGCAGCAAGATGGTAGCACCCGCGAGGTGGTTGACTCCGCTGTCTCTTCGTCTCCAGCTAGTCGGAAACAGGAGAGGGACGGAGTGGTGGTGCGGCGCTGGAAGTGGGTAAGGTGAGGGTGGCGGCTAGGCGATTGAGGAAGTGAAAGTGGTGGCTGCAATGGTCGTGACTAGGGTTAGGGTTACCGGATGGGTAACGACTAAATACCCGGTCCCTCAAGACATTAAGCCATAATAACAATATCAGTCCTTCCCTCTTCTTTTCTTTCAAATTTAATCAAATTGTTACCAAACAACCCTTGCTATACAAAACCCTTTGCAATTTAGGTCCAAAATTTACCTTTCAGCCCCCGCCCCCAACAGTCTATTCAATATAACTCTGAAAGATACCAAACACACCCCAACTCCTGAAATCCTTTTCAAAATAAATCCCAAAATTATACTTTAACCCCAGGAGATTCAAATATCGCCATTTGGCTTCCCGAAACCAACACTCCGCTAATTATTATTTGATTATTGGACTATAATAATATAAAATAATAATAAAAATTACTTATCGGGGTTCCGGGTTTATTATTTAATTATTCTATTTTAAACGGGATGTTACACTAAAGGACGCGTTGCTGATAAGATCAGAGTTCGATAACGACTTTTGAAAGCTACGATTGCGAATCAGATTCTGAAGTCGTATTTGCAAAATAGTTATTAGACTTATCCAAGTGGGAGACTGTTGGATTAGGTGTCTAAACCCATAACTATTTTTTGTATGTACTTGATTTGATTATGAGCATGGTCGTTTTGGGTTGCATTCACTCATGCAACTTGATAGGACGACAAGAGGAGTGAGAGTAGAATTTATTATGTGAATAATTAATTCATACTCAAAATGGTTTTATTAATATATTACAAGATTAATATATTATTTGGAAATCATATTATTTAATTAGTATTGATCAGGAATTAATTTGGTGATCAAAAGAGACTGATTAAATTAAGGGGACTGATATTGCAATTAATTGTTAGTTGCTAGTTGGGCTATGGACTCCTAATAGAAGGGATGGACGAAATATATGGGAAGCCCATATAGATTTCGTCCAAGGGGCATTCTAGAAGGGTTCCATGGATTGCTTAAGGCATAAGCAGAGAATTAGGGTTTCCACTTGAAACCCTAGCAGCCCACACAACTATAAATAGACCCTTATACATGAGGATTTCAGATTAAAACAAGCTTATTGGAGTTGCCCTGCCCGAATTCTTCTCCTCTCCTAAGTCATTCTTCTTGTGTTGGGTGTTTGTGACTCCATCAGAGGGGCAACACTTGGGGCACTAGGCTTTCAGAAGTCAAGATCAAGAAGGATTAAACTTTTTATTACTACATAACAAGAGAGGTAAAGATTCTAACCCTAATCATATGTGATTTTCGATATATGTATGCTAGTCATAGGGTTATTGCTTTGGTATTTATAGTTGTATGTTCAAATTAGAAAAACCTAGATCCAAAGCAATTACGGTTGCATCTACACCATAGGATGATGTTATGCTCAAAATGCAACAGTTTCCATCAAAGAGTTCTGCACAAAGCTCTGGAAACAACAATGTGACAGTTTTCAAAGAAGCGGCTTTCGGATGTCCCTAAACCCAATCAATGTAACAAAAGTAGTATAGGAATAAATGACAACTATATAAACAAAATACATATAAATATATATATGTGTGTGTGTGTATATATATATATATATATATATATATATATACATTTTTAAAGTCCTCCTACTCCTCATTTGTTAAGTTAAAAGTGTTTGTTTGAGGATTCTAAAGGTTGCCGGTTTTGTTTTTCAAGTATAATCATCCTGTATATTTGGCGTTAAGGTTATCATATGCGTTTTTCAATTGTCTTTGAGTTAAATCCACACCATACTTTTCCTTAATGGTTGTTCCTAACTTGTTCCATAAATGTTTGTGCTAACTCAAACCTTTTCTTCCCACAGTTTGTACTTCTTCAATACAAGTGTGCAATAAGAATTTTATCTGCTCATTGGTCCATGTATGTTTATCACCCATTGCTAATAACAAAAAAAAAACCCATACGAAATTCAAATTTTAGCAAACAAAACCTTATACCAACAATTTTCAGCATAACAACATCTTGTATTGATTAAAATAACAAATTTCAGCAAAGATTATTCATATTTCAGCAACAATTATGACACTTCAACAACATTTTATGATATTTCAACAATATTTCATGACATTTCAGCAACAATTTGTGACAATTCATCAACAATTTTGTGATATTTCAACAATTTTTCATGACAATTCAGCAACAATATGTGACATTTTAAGCACAAATTAAAGACATTGCAGCAAGAACTTATCATTAATCAAGATAGAAACAACATCATCAACTATTTGATAAGATTAACATCAACATTTAGCAAGAACAAAGATTCAACAACAAAAATCGAAAAATTAATATGAAGCAGGAACAATGAAGTAACTCCACCAACAAAATCAACAAGGAAAACAAGGATTTGGTATATTCAATTGTCAATTTAAGGAACAATCGATTTCAGCAAGAAAAACAGGAAAAAAAACATACATGTGAGACGATGTTGACAACCGACGAAGGAAGAACTGCGACGGAAGGCGCCGGTGATCACTGGCGACTGCGAGTTGGGGCGACGGAAGCGGAGGCCTGCGAACTTGGAGGGTGACAACCGATGTTGCTGAACTCGATGGTCGACGGTCGATGGGCAGAAGAGAAGAGATGCAACGTTTTTTTTGGAGTGAGATTATTTTAGGTTTAGGTTTGAAGAGGTGGGAAGAGTTGGGAAGAGGTAAAACAAGTGCTTCCCCAAACATCATACGGGCATAAGTTTTCACCTCTGAAGACTTCCGGAAAACAAACTGTTGCGGGACAAAAAGTGTTGTGCGTGTGCTGCGTCGCGCATCAATAAGTGCTTTGAAGAACTTTTTTATAAAAAACAAAACAAAACCTTACTTAAACCTATACTATACCATAGACCTGGATCCAGATACCCGCCACATGTTTTTGAAGACCAGAAGGAGAAGCTCTCTAAACCCTGAGGCAAAAATCTAACTATTCATATCAACCAAAACCTAACATTCGAGAACTTTTCTACAATTCGTACGTTAATCTTGTCATGAGGACCACATCAGTGTCGGAGCTCAACGATGACATCATCCGCAGTATGTCTATTGGGGCACTGTTTTCAGATTTCGTGAGTGCTTCCCCATTTTATGTGTGTATATCAACAACAGATTATCGATAAAATTCATTGCATGTAAACATAATTTAGAACAAACAAGCACACGATTATAAATTTGATGGAACTTGGAATATAAGGGGGTGTTTGGCTTATCTTTTGAGAGACTAAAAGTCATTTTAGATAAAAATAGCAGAGAAAAGATGTTTGGTAAAAGCTCCTTTCGGATTTTTCATAGAAGGAAAACTGACTTTTTGAAAAAGTTAGAAAAACCTGACTTTTTGTAATTTTTCAAAAAAAGTCCTTTTTGCCTAACCCAAACACCCCCTAAATCCATATTACACTCGCATCCTAAATCCATATTACACTCGCATTTTCAGCATCGATTGGGATGATGGTAATTTTTGCTTCAGCTTTCGATGCGAATAGTCTTCATTCCCAATGAAATCGCATATTGTGTTTGGGAGCATCGAATTGGAAGTGGACCTTAGCATACGCAGTTGAATGCTGCAACTGACTTTTGCTTGCCCAACTTACAATTATGCCTTGATTTTTGCTATATAGTTTTTATACATACTACATAGTAAGGGGCAGATTAAAGCACCAAAACCTAAGGTTTGTACATATTTTGAAAATGATTTATACCCTTTTCAGGGGATTTTACGCCTAAGAGGTAGGCCTACAGTTGCATATGATGAACAAGGCCTTGTTTTTGCAGTATCAAAATTAATTTGTGTTCCCATGAGGTTTCTCCAATGTTCAACCTCCAGCTTCTCTCGTGCATTCAGTTCCTCCAGCTACGCTTACCACAACTTCCATGAAAATGTCAGGTTTCTCCTAACGAAGGGTCGTCTGGATGAAGCACTGACTCTCTTTTACACTTCAAACATCACTCATACCCAACAAACATACGCCGATCTCTTCCACGCATGTGCCCGCCATGGCAACCTTTCTCAAGGCCGAGCTCTACATCGCCACATGCTTGACACTCACAATCAAAATACCTTCCCCAATCTCTATGTTTCCAATCATCTGATCAATATGTATGCAAAATGTGGCTCTTTGGAATATGCACGTAAGCTGTTCGATGAAATGGGTGAGAGAAATATTGTGTCTTGGACTGCTCTTATTTCAGGTTATGCCCAATCTAAAAGACTCCAGGAGTGTTGTACGATGTTCTCTAGAATGTTAGTGGATCACCGCCCAAATGAATTTGCATATGCAAGCGTGCTAAGTTGTTGTGATCTCGAGGTTGGCAAACAGGTGCATGCACATGCCATGAAAACATGTTTGGATGCTTACATGTATGTGGCAAACGCATTGATAACAATGTACATGAATAATGATGATAAAAGTGAAGCTTTTGAGGCTTTGATGGTTTTCAAGTTTTTGAAGTCTAGGAATCTTGTGACATGGAACTCCATGATTGCAGCTTTTCAGACTAGAGGCAAGTTGGAAGAAGCTTTAAATCTGTTCTCATTGATGCGACATGATTCCAATATTGGTTTTGATCGCGCAACCCTTCTTAGCATCTTTTCATCATTACTGATAGGAAGAGACTATGGTCATAACATGATTGCCTCATGTCTCAGGTATTGTTCTCAGGTACACTCCCTTGCCATTAAAACAGGGTTTATCTCTGAAATAGGAGTAATAACAGCATTAGCAAAGGCTTATGCGGATCTTGGAGCAGAAAGTTTCGACCTTTCCAATCTTTACATGGAGTCAGAAGGCAAGAGAGATATCGTTTCTTGGACTGCATTCATAACAATCTTTGCAGAAAACAACCCTGAAGAATCCCTTCATATTTTCTCTGAATTGTGTCAATCTGGTTTGAGTCCAGATCATCACACATATTCCATAGTGCTAAAAGCTTGTGCAAACCTAGTCACTGATCGACACACCTTATCTATCCATTCTCAAATACTCAAATACGGTTTTCAAAACGACACTGTGCTTGCAAACGCATTGATTCATGCATATGGAAGATCCGGTTCGCTTATCGAATCCAAAAAAGTTTTCGATTCGACTCTTATTAAAGACATAATCTCTTGGAATACAATGATAAAGATTTACGGATTACATGGGCAACCAAAAGATGCATTGAAATGCTTTTCAGAAATGAATTTGAATTTATCACCTGATGCCACCACCTTTGTAGCTCTCCTTTCAGCCTGCAACCATGCTGGTATGGTTGAAGAAGGGAGCAAGATTTTTGAAAGCATGCTCAAAACATATAAGATTGTTCTTCAACTCGATCACTATGCTTGTATGGTTGACATTCTTGGAAGATCCGGTCGCATTCTAGAAGCTCAAAAGCTTATAAACAAAATGCCAATGGAACCCGATTCTGTAATATGGAGTTCTATGCTTGGAGCATGTAGGAAACATGGTGAACCCAAGCTTGCAGAGTTAGCAGCTGCAAAACTACAGGAATTGGAACCAAAGAATTCCCTTGGTTATGTACTAATGTCCAACATACACTGCTCAATGGGTACTTTCAGTGAAGCTCTAGATATAAGAAACCAAATGGAAAGATGGGGTGTGAAAAAGGACCCTGGTTTAAGTTGGACTGAAATTGAAAACAGGGTGCATGAATTTGGTTCAGGTGGGATTCGACACCCAGAAAGAAACTCCATATGTGATGATTTGGATGAGTTAGCGAGTGAACTAAAAGGGTTAGGTTACGTGGCTGAAACTAATTTGGCTTTGCATGATATAGAAGAGGAAGATAAGAATCGGGAGCTGAATTACCATAGTGAGAAGCTTGCTTTTGTTTATGCGTTAAAGCATGGTGAATCTAAGTGTTATGGAGGTGCTATTAGGATTGTTAAGAACATACGTATATGTGTGGATTGCCATAACTTTATGAAATTTGCAAGTGAGTTTGTTGGAAGGGAAATTATAGTGAGAGATTCAAATAGGTTTCATCATTTTAAAGAAAGAGTATGTTCATGCAATGACTATTGGTGATGGTGTGTTCCTTAAGTCTATGTTTGTTACATTTGGAAATTGATAGCATTTACACAATCTTTCCCAAAGTTTTGGGGGAAAGTGAAAGTCTTCAAGGAAATAACTCATATGGATGCATGCTTGGTAATTAGGTACTTGTTACAACCTGCACAAATATAACATATCTTCGGTATCGAAGACAAACATGTAACTTGTTTTAGGTGATAATTTGACATCTAGTTTATATGATGTATGTCCAGTCAGCATATTCATACAATCTTTATGCTTAATATGTCATTGAACTACCATTTTTTATTCCACTAGGGTCACTAATCTAACATATCTATACACCTGTGACTGGATATTTGCAGATAAAATTTTCAACAATTTAATGTGATGTGTGTCCAGTCAGCATAGTCGTACAACATTTTTTTAATTTTATAAAAAATTTCAAGGGGTGAAAGCAGAAAACAGCAAATCAGCAATGCACTTTCATTCGCTTGTTTATTATAGCATCTTATTTTCATTTATTGATAAGAAAACACTGAAAGTACATCATTCGTAGTACAATGCCTTAGTAAGAATTTTTTTTGAAAGATAATAGAAAAATGAAAGTAAGATGGTATAATACACAAATAAATGGAAGTAAGTTGATGCATTTAGCCCAATAATTGATGCTTTCACTATGATTACAAAAACTGTATTATCAAAATAATATATTTTTTTAATTAAAGCAATTTAGGAGGCTGTGAGGTTTTTTGATACAATTTGGATGAGTTGAGAGCGAAATTGGATTTGTAAGCTATGCATATATGTTAAATATTTAATGTGGTTTTATGTTTAATAAATGGTTTTACACATTTATTAATTGTATTGGTCATTTGGTTGGTGTAGGTGGAATTACGTCTTACTTTGTAGGCCAACAGGACCCGTGTTGTACATTAAGAAGTCAGTCACATAAAAAGCTATCTAAGTGGCTACGGGACCCACACTTGTCTAGAAACAAGGAAAGCAAATTACCTCTATAAGCAGATAACTGACATTACGAGCACTTGAAGATCAAATCCAAAAGAAATGTGAGTTTCGGGTGTTCAAGGCCAAGGCTTTTGCAACCAAGCATGTTTTGATTGAAATCACATGTAGGCATACAATAGCAGTTTTGAATGACAAAAAGGACAATCATCAACATGTTGGTGATCTTCATTGTTAGGGTGAATCAAGTTTATTGATTGTCTACATAGAAGAATGCATACTCTCTCTCTCAGTGACATCATGAGTAATGCAAGAACAAAGGGCTCAAAACCAGGATTTGCAAGGCTCAAGATGGATCTTAGCAAAAGAAATGAATCGGGGTTTGAAATCATCTTCTTTTTTGTCTTTAAGGAAGTTGGTGTTTGGTTTGCTGATAAATAATAGCAAGTAGTAGTATGTTTATTAGGCTTGTGTTGTTGGTATTGTGGTTTGCATAACTGTTGATGTTATTATTATTTTTTTGCATATGGTACCTTTTTTTGTTAAGACACTACATATGGTACACTTTATGTGGTAGTTAATGAATGCATTTTGGTAAGTATTTTGGTTATTACTATTGTGTTATTTGCTAGTTCTATTGATATGCTATCATTGATAGAAGTGCTTGAACATTTTGTTTGAACTTGCAAATAATACATAATGCAACATAGGAGTTGGTCAACATTGCAAATATCATCTTTAGTTTATTATCAAAAGCAAACCCCAAAACATGAACCCCCAACAAAAGCCATTATGTTAGACCAAAGTTACATAAACTCCGATTACAATTGCGTCTGATTCTAACATAAGATCAAAATCACAAACAAAATCCTACTTATAGTAGGATCAATTTCAAGTTTCTAGCTTGTCATTGGTATTGCTCCACCAATGCTTCCACTTGGTTGTTGCTTTTCAATAAGCCGAGTATGACCTCCACATGACAAGCACATTAGGCAGATCAACCCATCTTATAAAGCGACACGTTGAGCCCTTCATAATGAAGAACCATGGTTAGGTTGGGAAATATCTACTTGGACTAAGTGAGGTCCATTATGCATCATGGATCAATTTCAAGTTTCTAGCTTGTCATTGGTATTGCTCCACCAATGCTTCCACTTGGTTGTTGCTTTTCAATAAGCCGAGTATGACCTCCACATGACAAGCACATTAGGCAGATCAACCCATCTTATGAAGCGACACGTTGAGCCCTTCATAATGAAGAACCATGGTTAGGTTGGGAAATATCTACTTGGACTAAGTGAGGTCCATAATGCATAATATTCCAATAAAGCACGAAGTTATGGTCGTATTTTGGGTGAGGCTGTTGAAGTTGAAACTCTTATCGACTTATCGTTCCCTATAAGGGAGGGGAAGAGTAAATAAATAAATCAAAATTTTTAATATAAAAAATGAGATATCAAAATGCCATTTTGCCCTTGTGTAAGAGACATGTGAAGTCACTATTCACTAAGAACTGAAAAATAAATGGGTTTAAAAGGATTGGACCAAATTTACAAAGAAAAAACATGGCCAAAATGTAAATTTTATAATTTAGGGACCGAACTTCCAAAATTTTGCTAAAACACACAATATTTACAATTACTCTTTTTTAAACCCATACTATCTCGTATACATACATACGTCCTATAAAAGCCAAATCGAACCATAGACCCGGATCCAGATACCCGCCATATGTTTTTGAAGACCAGAAGCCAGAAGCTGTCTAAACCCTGAGGCAAAAATCTAACTATTCATATCAACCAAAACCTAACATTCAAGAACTTTTCTACAATTCGTACGTTAATCTTGTCATGAGGACCACATCGGTGTCGGAGCTCAACGATGGAATCATCCGCAGTATGTCTATTGGGGCACTGTTTTCAGATTTCGTGAGTGCTTCCCCATTTTATGTGTGTATATCAACAAAAGATTATCGATAAATTCATTGCATGTAAAGATAATTGAGAATAAACAAGCACATGATGATAAATCTGATGGAACTTAGAGTATAAATCCATATTACACTCGCATTCAGCATCGATTGGGACGATGGTAATTTTGCTTCAGCTTTCGATGCGAATACTCTTCATGCCCAATGAAATTGCATATTATGTTTGGGAGCATCGAATTGGAAGTGGACCTTGGCATACGCAGTTCAATCCTGCAACTGACTTTTGCTTGCCCTACTTACAATTATGCCTTGATTTTTGCTATATAGTTTTTATACATGGTAAGGGGCAGATTAAAGCACCAAAACCTAAGGATTGTACATATTTTTCATAAACAACTTGCTATTTAATCTTTTAACAAACTGGAAAGCTGAAATTTGTCATAAAAAACTTGTCTTTAATCATAGGTAAACCATTCCTCCATGAGGAATTAAAGCACCAAAGGTAAGACTTGTACTCTCTTATCATAGGACAAACAAAAATCTTTGTATTGCCCACAGCAGTTAGCAATTAGCCAACTAGCAAACAACTTCTAATCACATAGAAAGTAGAAACCACAACCTTATGAACGACCTCTTTTCTTTTTTACTCTCATCATTAAGAGAGCACATGAATGAGATGTGAAAACTGATAATTTGTGTTAACTTTGGGATTCCATATGAACAAGAGCATGTGTGATAACTAGTCTCATGATGAGAATCTTTAGCAGTTTACTTAATAAGTTTGTTATTTTGTGCATTTTTATGATTTCAAATGCTATTTTTTTGTTCTGTTGGATTCAATCGACTGCTTTGATCATGACACATAGAAGTGTTTCAGGTTGGAAAGATAAATGCACTTGATTTTCATCGCACTGCGGATCTTTTGGTAACAACAGGTGAAGATGATTCTGTTCGGCTATATGACATAGCAAATGGCAAGTGCGTATTCTTATTTCTTCACCAACATGTTGTTTCATTGTATAGTGTGTGTGTATGTGTGTGTCCTTTCAACTTGTATTGCTAGTTTCTGCTTTCTGCTTTATTGCTAGTATCTCCTTGTACTATGTATCCATACAATATTTACCTACTTACTCTTGCTCCTATTTACTTTCAACTGTATTGCATGTATCCACTCTTTCTTTAGTCACACACCACATTTTATTCTTCATTTCATGTGTTCTTTATGGGACTTTGGTATTGTTGTTGTATTTTCTTTTTCTAGTCATTGCCATATTGTGATGCTATACCTAATTGACATACATAATTACATATATATATATATATATATATATATATATATATAATATATCGAAATCTTCAATTTTATTTGCAAAATCACCTTGTGAAATATATTGTATTAGAGTTTTATGCCATACTTTGTGCATATTTATAAAAATCACACATATCTAGTGGTTGTATTCTGTTATCTTTTTTATTGTTCACAATGATGAACTTAATGAATCGATTCATTTCTAACTACTTGATGATTGCTTGAATTTTTATCCATATATACTCAATTACTCATGATATGAATGAAGTTCAGGTTACTAAAAACCACACATCATAAGAAACATGGTGCTGATCGTATATGTTTTACACACCACCCTAGTTCTGTCATATGCTCTTCAACACGAAATTTGGATTCAGGTGCAGGTAACTGTCTCATTCTCATTAATCATTATGAAACTTCTTTGACTTTGACTTTTTCAATGATGAAAATTACCATATTTTTATTTTGTTTCTTTTTCAGAGTCCCTGCGTTATCTATCCATGTATGACAACCGATGCCTTCGTTACTTCAAGGGCCATAAAGAAAGGTTTGACTTTATTAATTTCCTCTTATTCTTCAATGGTCAAATTAGTTGATGAGATTATGAGAAAGAGTTTTACAAGTTTGCATTTTTTTATGCTATTTGGCTTTTAATTTTGCCTAGGAGCATGTTGGATTTAGGTTAGTGTAAGGGAATGGAATGGAGCATTAGGATAGAATGTAAAAATCATAGGAATGGAATGAAGCATTCTGACAGAATGTGAGATGATTTTCATTCCATGGAATGAAGTGATATATTACAGTTATAAAATTACTTATATCTATATAATCTTCAGTAACGATAATGTTTTTCAAAAGTATGAGAATTTCATTTAAATTATTATTTTTATTTTTATTTTTTTTAAAACAATTTTTTTATTATAACCAGCTTTTAAGATTTTATGGTATTTAATTTAATTTTTTATATTTGTAAACAATTTTCTAAAGTTATTAATAAACTTTTTTTTTACTATTTGAAATACATACTGTCTATATTTCGAAAGACATGAAACTTTTCTGTATGTAATTATGTACAGATACATCTTTTATTTGATTAAAGTTCTTTTTATAATATGACATTTTGACTTTTATTTATCAATTTATTTCCGCAAAATTTTCTAATTGTACATAACAAACAACATGTTTAAATGACTCATTTCATTCCTTTAAGCCAACCAAATATGATAAGGGAATGTAATCACACATTCCATCACCTTGGTCATTCCATTCCTCCGTTCATTCCATTTCATTGTGATTCCATTCCATCATACCAAAGAAATCCTAGATGAATGATTAGATCTAATTACATATTTACATTAATTTTTATTAAAATTATAAAGTTTTGTGTTTACTTTGGCTGTAGGGTTGTCTCCCTCTGTACATCTCCAGTTGATGACAGTTTCATGTCAGGTTCTCTTGATCACACTGTCAGAATATGGGATCTTCGTGTGAATGCCTGCCAGGTTGGCATTTAAACTTTAAAATAAAAAATATAATCAATAGATGGATTATTACATGTGATTATTCATATATATATATATATATATATATATAATATATATATATTTCTGAAAACGATTTATACCTTTTTCAGGGAATTTTACGCCTAAGAGGTAGGCCTACAGTTGCATATGATCAACAAGGCCTTGTTTTTGCAGTATCAATGGAAGGAGGTGCTATCAAATTATTTGATTCACGTTCATATGATAAGGTTTGACCATTTGAGGAAAACAAAAGAAAATAAAGAGTAAATTACATTTTTGGTCCTTGAGTATGGCTGATTTTTTCAGTTTTCTCTTGCAGTTTTGGTCTTTATTTGAGGGTCTTGTGATGTTTTTGGTTCATGTTCTAACTTTTGGGAGCAAAATTGCAAAATCAGCTATACTTAGGAACCAAAAATAGCCATTTTACTTTGAACGTGGACCAAAAGCGTACAAGAACCTCAAATAAGGACCAAAATTGCAAAAACCAGCTATATTCAAGGACTGAAAATGTAATTTTATCTATAAAAATAAAGATAAAATTCTCACATCTGTGATTCATGTAGGGCCCATTTGACACGTTCTTGGTGGGAGGTGACATGGCAGAGATTTGGGATATAAAGTTTAGTAATGATGGTAAATCAATGCTTTTGACTACCAAAAGTAACAACATATATGTTCTAGATGCATATAATGGAGAGAAGGTTAGTTATTTACTGTTTTAAACACATTAATTAATCATCAATATTTATTTATCATATTTTTTGTTATGTAGAGATGTGGATTTAGTGTGGATGCTTCTTCAAACACAACAATCGAGTCCACATTTACACCTGATGGCCAATATGTGATTTCAGGTATATTATTCTCAATATGACTTAAATAAACAGAAGAAGAATTTATTAAGTTGTATTTACAGTTTTCTTGTAATATTAAAATTTTTATGAAATTTTCTTATGCAGGCTCTGGAGATGGGACGTTGAATGCTTGGAGCATTCCCACCAGGAGTAAGGTATTAAAAATTATCAATTTTTTTTTAAATAATTTTCCATCAAGTTTACATATGTAAAGGCTAAAACGGATCCCTATAGAGTACATAGCTTTAAACCTTCTAAATTATTTATTTAAAAAAACATTTGGATCATAATTTTCTCTTTTTTTCATGTTAATGGGCTGTTTCTTGTTTTTCTTTTACCCCCATTAAGTCCTGTATGGATAAAACAGTTGAATATGTAATGATGTCTGTATGGATGAAGTGTTGTAAACATAAGATTTGTTTTATTTCTAGACTGAATAAACCGTCTGAATGACCATTTTACCCTTACATTTCAACAAATAGTTTTCACAATATTCATCGATTTTAACGTGTTGTCTAGATAACTGATGCCTAAGAAATACTATGCAAAACTTGGGGAAATGGAAGGAGAAATAGAATGAGGGTAAATTTGTAAAAGGTTAAGGGCTTAATGGGGAAAACCTCATTTCTTTGACTTTTTCTGTTAGGTCGTTCTTTCTGCATGAAGTTAAAAAAAAAATTAAAAAATAACACCTCTATATATAGCTTACTAGATTGAAGCATGTTCCAATAAAATAAAAAAAGAAACATCTAAGAGTTCATAAGCTTTTCTAATGACATAACTACCCTTGCGAGTAACTAAAAAATATGGTTGTGACAGGTGGCGAATTGGGACAGCCAGATAGGTGTTGCATCATGCTTGAAATGGGCACCTCGTAGGGTGATGTTTGCTGCTGCTTCTGTGGGGGTTCTCACTTTCTGGATACCAAACGATACAATTTAGGATAAATTTTGAACAATTATTTATTTTCTTTTTTTTGGGGGCATTTTCGACCCTTTTTTTTTTCTCCCCTGATCCTTGTCAAATTGTACCTTATATATCAAGAGCAAAATTTTGAAAGTGGGTGATGCATTTTAGTAAAAAAACAGGGGAATCTGTCTTTATGTGCAGGGCAAATTGCATAAAAGGCAACCAACTTTGGTTGTTATTTTGTTTAAGGTAACCAACTTTTTCTAGTAGCAAGTAGAAAAAAAAAGAGTTGAAAGTTGCTTGCTTAAGGGGAGATGAGATTGAAAGCTTGTTCCTGTAAGTATAAAATTTTGGACCGTTTATTTTCTTTTTTTTTTTAAGCAAAAAAATAATTGGCTACCTTAGACAAGAGATGTATAAAGTTATATTTACTAGCGTTGGAACTCCTAAAAAGCCATCTACTACTAAGAACAATATTCATCATAAGGCGTCTTCTTGATTCTTGATTGCATCTTGGCATATTTTCTTGATTGACGTTCAATTAGAGATTTAGTATGATATAATATATTGTAGACCTACACATTTGTCAAAATTTAGCTATAATATTGCCATCAACAACTATCCAGTTATCGTGGGCAAAATTCCCATACCGGTCATCGACCGCTATTTGAAATCACGGTTATCTTAGTGGTATAGTGTTTTTATATATTATGTATAAATTATATTATATATTTATATAGAAGCTATATATTAGAGTATTACGTAATACTATATAGAATTAATAGTGTCAGTCACAACATGCTAGTCGTTCATCATCGATTCACATCAAACGAACTTAGGACTTGGGAGGGAAAGTGGACACACAACGGGAAAGAGGAACAAAGACTTCTTTCTAATTATGTCAACCCATTAAAGAAATTCAAGTTTTGGTTTGGGCTCATTAAAAAAAACCAGATTTATTATAAGGAGTAACGCACAAATCATTTTTTATTATAACAAGTAGCCCAAAGATGACTATGTTATAGTGTTGACATGAATAACTGTAAATCATGGTAAATAGTGTTGTTAACAGTGTCGCCGTCATTCCAAATCGCTATTTGATAAATCTCGTTCTTACTAGTCTACGAACAGGTATAGCGCATGATTAACTGGCTAGATCAACAATGAATATTGGGTTATTTGAAGCTTGATGATATTGACATTAACAATAAATGTCGGGAATTTGGAGCTTGGATGAAGGAACCGATGAGGAAGAAGGAATTATAGAGCTAGAGAGGGAAGAAATAAGTTAAGGAAAAGAGAAATAGGGAAATAGAAAGAAAAAGATGAAGGTGTTGCTTGTGTATTTTTACAATTTCTTTTGCATGTTGCAAATCAAAGAATTGATCTTGAGTACATTATCTTCATCTCAAAGAGGTGTTTGGTTTCTTGGTGGAGGGTGGGGGAATGGTGGTTGATGGTCAATTGGGTAGTCCTTTTATGGTTGGAGTTTCAGTTGGAGAGGGAGAGTTGCACCAAGAAAGAAGGGGTGGCGGTGGCTTACAACTTAGTAGCGGTGAGAAAGAAGCAGAGATGATGGTGGCTGCGAGCTTCCAAAGGTGGTGGCTCATAACTCTAAACTATGTTGTATATTCATCTTTCATCTCTCGTCACATGGGAGCGTCACATCATTTTCCACCTTGATCTTTCATTCCAAATGATACCTATCTTTTAAAAAAAACAAAATAAATTAAAATTAAAGAGACAAAATAAGAGCAAAAAAAATTGTTCTGAAGACTGCTTCAAACCATAAAAAAAATTCTTCATAAAAAATGTAACATTTGAGTTGTAGTAAGTTCCTTCTTAGCCCTTAATGCAAAATTGTTAACATTATTGGCCCCAAACTAGTACGCGGGGCGTACTCTATGAGTACGCTTAGCGTACTAGCCCCCCTTGTTGACCGCGAGCATCACCCACGTACGCAGGGCGTACGTGGAGTACGCATGGCGTACGTAGCGCAGGGGCAAACCCTAATTTTTAGGGTTTGCACCCTATTTAAACATCATTATAGCCTTTGGATCTCTACCCTCTCATCAGCCTCCCTTGTTCATTTCGTCCCATTGAAACCCTAATTCATTCCTTGAGTGTTCTTGAGCTTTGAAAGTAACTTTGTGGCATTTCTGGTATGTATTCAAGAAGAAGGAGCTTGGAGACCAAGCATTTGTGGCGGTTGAGCTTTTAGATCCAGAGTCTTCATCAACTTTGTGAGCTTTAGAAGGTATAAAGTCCTTACCTTGATGATTCATTTTGATAGATGAGGTTAAGGCTTGTTTGTGATCTTTATTTGGTCCTATGGGTTCTCTTTGTGAGTTTGAGCAACTCCAGGAGTTAGATATGTTAGATCTCAACCTCTTTGTTGTTCATGATGCATAAAAATGTCACCTTGATAGTTGTTATTGGTCCATACATGAGTTTGAGTTCCCTTTGTGAGTATTGTTGGATAAAAATGGATGTTGGGTTCCATTAAGACATGCATGGGGGTAAAGATGCCAACTTTACATGCAAAGTCACCCTTTAGGACCAAATTTGAGAGTTTGTCTAGAGGTCTTAATCGAATAAGTGCTTAATGGAGGGGTTTGGCAATCTAGGGAGTACGTTGCGCGTACTGGCCCCGGAGGGTGTACACTAAGCGTATGAGTTGAGTATGCCCTGCGTACTCAGCAAATTAATGTTTTGGGCTTGGCAATTCTCGGTATTGGGCCATGCTGTCACACCCCAAAACCGGAACGGCGGAAACGTTCTAGGGTGGAGGACGTCATGTACAGTATCACAACAAAGCATAGTAGTAAACAAGCAACAACATCCATTGCATTAATAGAATAATTATAATACAAGCGTGTTCTGTAGTTTATAAGACACCAAAAATGAATTATCAAAATAAAAGATGAGTCTTGAGTGTGCTCCATCTTCTCAAAAGCTTCATCGGTACCTGTCTACTGATGACCTGAGAATACAAGTTATTTTGAAAGAGTTTATCAGCATTAACGCTGGTAAGTTCATAAGTATTTAGTGTCATTGCTTGTATGAAAGTGTTTGTAACAACGTAGTGTAAATGTTCGTAATTGACTGCAAATGTTTGGAAATGGTTGAACTCCCTAGAAAATCCTATATATTTTCTACTGAAATGTAGTCTTCTACCAAGACCCGACCATTTGTATGTTTGTTCTTTTGTAAATGTAAAAGTTTTTCCCCAGTGAAACTATCATTATAAAAATATAGTTTAAGTCATCGTTTATGTGAGATGATTTCAAATAAATGTAATAGGGGAAAATAATGTTTTACCTCAGCAGTGTCACTGTTGGCTATAAAGTGATAAAAATGCAGACTTCGGGTAGTATTAAATGTACAATACACCTCGGGGAGTCTGTTTGCCTTTAATTATTCGTCGGTTAATTAAAGGTTTAAATGTGAACTCGTATGTAACCATGCTGATCGACGACTGAATAAATGATGACCCTCCGGTGTCATATGTAGTGAGGTGACATTTTGTCACCCCTTGGCCTTATCGGCTGGGACTGTAGCTAGCAGTCGGGGTGTGGGAGTGTCTGTCCCGTATAGATCTATACACACAATGCCCGCTCTCCCTCCAGGAGACTCTGGTTACAAAGTGATACAACAATGTAGTGTCGTATCGAGAAGTAGTATGTCACATTCTGGTTATCGTATTCAAATGTTTGTATAGTATGTCATAGTGTAGTAATGTTTTCTCTGTACTAGTGTATAGTATATCCTCTTGTATATTGTATAATATGTTCTCTTGTATAGTGTATAGTAGGTATTGTTTCTCATTATAGTACGTTTGTAATGACTCATAAATGTACTGCCTCCTGTATGTATCGTTATGATAGTAATAGTGGGTAGTGATCTCTTAACTATACCTATTATAGTTAACTAGTAATGTTGTTTGTATGCCTTTGCTACCCAAAGGTCCTGAACTGAAGTGAAAGCTTTTACATCCTAACACATACATACGATATATAACTAAGGTTTCAACGACATTCGGACAGATAACAAGATACCCTAAGTCCACAACCAAACAAGGAACATGAAATAAAGTGAGCTATCAGTCCTAAGTCCTTCAAACCTTACTTATATAAATATATCTGTATAGATATGAGTTTGACAATAATGTAAGTTTAAAAGAGTTTGATAAAGGATTTATCATTTAAAAGAGTTTAATAAAATGTTTTGAAGTGTTTGAAATCCATAAGTTTGATAACAATTTGAAAGTAATAGAAAATCTTTCTGTTTGTTCTAGTTATTAATCACATGTGATTAATGCAATAACTAGAATGTTTCAACTTGTATTCCCCCCCATAAAAGCATTTAAAATCATTTCAAAGGTTGATTAAGGGGTATGAACTCACCTGCAGTGAGTGGTTTGGATGGGAGTGCTGGATAGGATGCTAAGTGTCAAGTGAAGACTTGAGCACACACGGATCCTATTTAACATATAATGACACATATATGTATCTAATTAGTGTTTAAACAACTAATTAAGCAAGTAAAGACACCTTAGGACATGGAAAACACTTTGATTCAAGTGTTAGAAGTACATAGGGTTGCATCTAAGGGTTGTAGGGCCTCACATTGGAGTTTACGGCCCAAATGGTAAGGCCCATGAGTTTACGGCCCATGGGTTTACAGCCTAATGAGTTTACGGCCGTAAAATCATGTCATCATGTACCATTTTGTGTATTTAAGGTCCTACAAGCTACCAGGAAGTGTTCTAGACCAAATACCAAGCCTTAGGAAGAAGTTAGGGTCCATATGCACCCAATATTAGGGTTTACAGCCAAGGGAGATTGCCTTGGCCGTAAACACCCTCCTGGACATGATTTCTTGAAGATTTCTAGATGTTTAACAAGTGATTCTAGTATATAACAAGCTTAGGGTAGTGTACTTACGTAGTAGAAGCTTTGAAAGGGTGATTAAAATCCAAAAACACTAGTGTGTGTTCTTGGTGAAATGAAGAACACTTGAAGATCTACCCAAAAAAGAAGAGATTTCATGGATGAAATCAAGAGTGAATCAAGAAGAAGAGATGTATTAACTCATATATGGAAATATTCA